CTTGCTACTAGGCAGCTCGGAGCTCACCACCAAGGAGCTCGCCACCAGGAAGCTCGGAGCTCATCACCAAGGAGCTCGTCCGGGGCCTCATGAGAAGCATTCCGTTTGATAGTCGTACCAGAAGATTGTACCCACGTCTCTCGCCTGACGGCACCGTACCTGCCAGCTCTGGTGGTTGCCTATTGCCTGACAGGACCGTACCCTGCAACGATTACCTGCACCCACCAGCTCAGCCTTGGAAAATAACGGTTGCAGCAGAGAATCAGAGGCGGTTGCATGTTAGATCACTAATATATAAAGACCTCACCCCCTAGGGAAAAGGGGGGATGGAAAAAGGGGAGGTAACCCCTACTCTCTAGCTCTCTCATTTCTCTAATATCATCTTCAAGCTCTCTACTATCAGAGTGCTAACTTAGCCATCGAAGTGGCCCCGTCGGGTAAACACCCCCGGGTCCTCTGATTCAATTCTCGCAGGTTCCTCAGCTCCCGTCGTCTACAAAGAGGAGCAGATCATCTCATGCAAAGGGCAGTCGGGTTGCACTCCACCAGGGAGCTCACCACCAAGGCAGCGCACCCAGCAGCTCATCAAGGTAGCTCACCACCAGGGAGCTCGCCACCAAGTAGCTCACCACTAGGGAGTTCGCCACCAAGTAGCTCACCACTAGGGAGTTCGCCACCAAGTAGCTCACTACCAGGCAGTTCGCCACCAGTGAGCTCCATCGTCCCCTGAGTCACAGGCCACCTGGAAGCAGGTCAAATGACGAGATACTTAGCCAAAAAATTAAAAAAAAAAAATTGGTACGTAACCAGAACCGGTTACATTATCTTGCATTATAAATAGATGCATATGTACATGCATAAACTTGCAAATAGTCATACATATAGAGATAGATGCACACATACAGTTACATACATACATATAAAATAAATAGGTTTTATATAATAAGTATACATGTAAGTATGAAAAGTATGAATCTATCGAGGTTGGGTTGGGTTGGCTAAAGTCTAAACATTTACCCAACCCAAAAAGTCATATTTTTTTATAATAAAGTAAAATGCATTAAAAGAAACAAAAGAAAGATACATGGAAGGTAACCACAAATCACCTGAGAGATGAGAAATAAGTAAAGATATATTCAAGTTCCATCCAATCCTCCCAAAACTAAACCACCCTTAAACAAATTTATACTACTTAAGAAGTAGGAATGAGGTCTAGCTTTTAGGCATTTTCTTGACTAAAGAACCCGTATTTTTGAATTTGGTCCTTTATTATGAGGGCAAAAAACATAATTTGAACTACTATTTTGAAGTCCATGCTATTCTATCTCATTAAGTCTTAATATTTAATTAAGGTATTTTCTCAAAAAAAATAATTAAGGTATTAAGTCTTATTCCCTCTTATTAAATCTTACATTAGGTATATTAAACAAATTATCTTTGTGGACTTTTTCTTGACTAAAACACCCTACTTATGAATTTGGCCCCTCTCTATAGTGAGCAAAAAACATATATAATTTAAATTACTACTTTTCACTTCATTTAATTCCATTTCATTAAGTTCAATATTTAAGGTGCCAATTCATATTTTCTCTCATCTTATCCTTTATTTGAAATAATTTTGTTTCTCACCAATAAATTCTACTAATTAAATTTATATCCAATAAATTTAATAATACAAAACCTATGCATTTAAGACCTACATAAAAGCAAAACCTTTCTTTTGTTTAGGTGGTAGGTAAATAGTTTAACCATATGGATCAAATGGGTCAACCCATGGTGTCATGGTTAAATAATAAAATTTTTTAAAAATAAATAAAATATAAAATTACAAAATAATACAACACATTTCTATAATGCTATATTTATCATATTATACTTTTATCAACGAAATACAAAATTTAAAACAAGAAATGAAACCATTTTCCTATGCAATAAATAGGTAGAAATAAAAATTTATAAAATACAAAACTTGTTGAGAAATTTTGTACACACCTCTAATATTATATATTTATAATACTAAATAAAAATACATATGCTAAATAAGAAGTATTCTTATTAACAATGAAAATAAAAGACAAAATTTAAACCAACTAGCACCCCATGCTTTGATTACTTAATGGGTTCTAATAAAGATATTGAAATTATTGAAAACACACATCATACAACCCCCCGACAAGCCCCCAGTGAGTTTTGAACACACCAATGCTTTAATCTGACACCAATTTGACGTGATATTTTGTCTTTTCACCAAACATTAAACATTGGTATGTTAAAAAATCACTGGGGTCTCATGTTTATCCTACAATGGGGTTGCAAGAAAGGTGTTCTTGAAATTATTATTGTTATTTTTTTCTTTTTTTCTTAAGCCCATAAAGACAGAATTCATTCATTCATGTTTGGATTGCAAAACAAGCTCAAAACAATCAACAAAGACCCAAACAAAGAAAAAGAAAAAAAAAAGTTGAACATCAAGAGTAAACCACTAAAATAGCCTTTGCAAACCGCATAATAAGTTTAGAAGTGTCAAAATGAAGGATCATGATGTAACCGTTTTTGGTCACGTACCATTTTTTGGGATGTGTAAAATTTTTTTGGCTAAGTACCTCGTGTTTGACCTGGTGGTGATGTGCCTTGGTGATGAGCTACTTGGTGGCGAACTTCCTGGGGGAGAACTGCCTGGTGGCGAACTGCCTGGTGATGCTCCCAGGTGGTGAACTGCCTAGGGGCGAACTGCCTGGTGGCGGACTGCCCGGTGGCGAACTGACTGGTAGTGCTCCCCGGTGGTGAACTGCCTGATGGCGAACTGCCTGGTGGCGAACTGCCTGATGGCGAACTGCCTGGTGGCACTACCTGATGGCGAACTGCCTGGTGACGAACTGCCTGGTGGCGAACTGCCCGGCGGCGCTGCTTGATGGCGAACTGCCTG